ATAAAATATTCATACTGATATATCAATTTAACGACCACATTAGCATGAATCTAACATATTGATTAAAATATATACTTTTTGAACCCATAAGGACGAAGTAATTAGCTTTGCTACAACATATGGACTAATATAACTATCTCTGGTTATGCTTATCCGTCCACAGAATGAAAAGGACATGCCTAGTCTTCTTTTATTTTCTTCAAAGTATTTTATTCATAGCAGTAATAGAACTTTGTTGTCAATAACATAACTTTTTTTTTTTTAATTATCAATATTAAGTTGACGGAGACTTATCTGAATTATTAGAGGTATGGGTTAGCGCAGAAATTTCCCTGTAATTTGTTGTTGTTTTTGCTTTCTTTCTTCGTAGGTTGGTTTAGCGCAGGTTTTTTGTAATTGGTACTTATTCCATGAGCACTAGATTCTGTCGTTTTGTTCGTTGGTCCTTTCTAGTGCAAAGATTCAGCGATGAAAAAAATAAAATAAATCTGAAACAAATATGAAAGGACTTAGTAATAAACCAATCTAAACAAAAAATTATTACATGTTTAATGTGTAAATTTTTAATTTTTCTCTTTGAATATCTTTTTTTTTTTCAGTGTACAAAATTTTAAATATTTTATAATGAAGTATTTTTGTTAGATTTATGCTGACATTGCTATTAAATTAACATATCAGTAAAATGACATGTCGGTCACATGATTCATGAATATTTTATTTTATTTTTAATTGAGTGTTTGTATTTTTATTTTTTCTATTTGAGTGTATATATTTTTATTTTATTTGAGTGTATATTTATTTATTCTTATTTAAGTGTTTGTACTTTTATTTTTTTTATCCGTGTTATTAATTCTGAAATTTAATGAATATCCATTTCGCAATCATAGGTAGGCTTATTGAATAGATTGTTATTAATTATTTTTTGTTGTTTTAATTTTAATTTTATTTAACTTCTTTTATCTTCTTCAAAATAGTTTATTCATAACAGTAATAGAACTTTCTTGCTGTCAATAACATAACCTTTCTTCTTCTTCTTCTTCTTCTTCTTCGTTTTTTTTTTTTTTTGTAATTATCAATATTATAAGTTGGCGAAGACTTCTTCTAATTATAATTATGTCAAGTTGCCATGGGAACACTTTAACCCGTTAAGATGGACGAGTTTTTATTTATTATTAAAGACAAACTACAGTCTATACGTTAGCGTGTATATTCTTATGTATTTTATCGTGTGCAGGTGGCATCAAGGACTGACATGAAGCAGATGTCATAGCTGCAGTTAGAAAGGCAATGGAAATTAGTGCATCTTCAACTATATAGCTCAGCAGGTTTACAAGAACAAGAGAGGATCAAGACGTCAATGCTCTTGCTAAGATTAAAAAAGACAAAAATGATTTAGATTTAATGAACCAAGTTGCACTAGCAGCTATACTTTAAAAATCAAGGGCTGGAAAAATTAAAGTAAATGTTTGATGAAGGTAGTTCATGACATTAAAAAAAAGAAATGGAATTCTCATTCAAAGATGGCATTTAATTAAGAAGAATAAATCTGTCTTGTTAAATAAATTTACGTCATTGACTTCCCAAGATAATTTGATCGATTGGATGGTTGGTGGATATCTAATTCATCTCATGGATGAAATTTTTTCTTTTATTTTTTTTTTAATTATAAATGCACATGTGTAAAAAAAAAAAGTTACGAATGATTTCCTGTGCATGTCAACAATCATATTTGTTGAGTGGATGAACATAGTCGTTAGTATCATAACCTTTCTTCTTCTTCTCCTATTTAATTATCAATATTATAAGCAGACGAAGACTTCGCGTAATTATTATTATGTTGACTTGCCATGGGAACGCTTTAACCCGTTAAGCTGGACGAGGTTTTTTTTTTTTTTTTTCTAATTTAATTCTGAAATCAGTAGAATATCTATTTTACAATCGTAAGTAGGCTACATTTCGATCAAGTTAACGAAAATTAAAATTAAAAATAACGAAGAAGATAAAATTTATTCAAATTAAAAGAACATAATAATAAAAATAATAAAATAATAAATTTGTATTGATTTTAACTAACTAAGTAAAAAATAATAAAAATAATAACTATAAAAAAATTTAGATTTTCGATGGAAATACATATATGTGTGCGCCCGTGATAGATCAAAGATTTTATTAAAAAATTAAAATATATAAAATCGTATATTAAAAAAGTTAGATTTGTTATACGATGAATTTGTTAATTTTTTAATCTTTTAAAATCAGTGGTGAAAATTTGTTTGGTTTGTGAGAAAGTAGAAGAAATAATCAAGTAATCTAACTTTTTATTTTCAACAAGTCATATTTTATTCTTATTTTCTTTAAAGTGAATAGCTAGTTTGTTATTATTGTTTGTTGTTTTAATTTTAATTTTATTTAACTTGATAAAAATATGACTTAGGAGTTAGGAATGAATAAATCAACCAAATTTTGGGAGGATTCATGAATTGCTTCTTTATAAATTAAACTTTCATTTGTTCGTATTTCGAGAAAAAATCTCTTATTTTTCATTTTTATTTTCTTAAGAGTGAACATTATGATTTCTATTTTGAACATGCATGAATACAAAATTTATAAGATTGCAAAGTAGATATGTGTTGGATTTCAAAATTAATAGCAATCATTGATAAACTTTTAAAAGTATATACATTCAAATAGAATATATATATATATATATATATATATATATATATATATATATATATATATATATATATATAAACACTTGATAAAAAATAAAGTAAAATGTTAATACTGATTTTTCAATTTAACTACCATATAAGTAAGAATCTAACATATTGATTAAAAAAAATTAAATGTTTGCACATGCAAATAAAAAAAATTAGGACACTCGAATAAAAAAACAAGTGTCCACACTAAATATGTAATTATGATTTCATCCAAAATACATAAAATTAAATATATACTTTTTGAATTCATAAGGAAAAAGTAATTAGCTTGGTTACAGCATAGGGACTAATATAATTATCTCTGGTTTTGTTTTTCCGTCCAGAGGATGAGAAGGATGCGCCATCTCTTCTTTTATTTTCTTCAAAGTATTTTATTCTCTTGCTGTCAATAACATATCTTCTTTTTTTTAAAAAAAAAATTATCAATATTGAGTTGACGAAGACTTATCTTAATTATTATAATGTCAACTTGCAATGGGAAACCTTTAAAAAACACGTCAAGCTGGACGAGGGTTTTTTTATTATCATTATTTTATTAAGGACGAACTACAGTCCATGTTCAATTGGTATATTTTAAATCTTAATTCTCTCACTTATTATTACGTTAACTTGTCATTTGTTTATGAAAAAAATTGTTTTTATTTTATTTTTTAAAAGAAATTTTATTGTTAACAATTATAACTTATTTTTCTTTATGTTTAGATTTTGAAATATATATATATTTTTTGGAACATGATTATTGTTTCTCTTTTATAAGAAAAATCAATATAGTTTATGTAATAGATTTTTATAACGTTTAAATGATTTTAAATATATGTTTAATATAAACTCTGGATGTGTATTGCAAATAAGTAATTCCAATTTTTTTGAAAATTTCATTCTTCTTTTCTTTTAAATTGAATAGATTATTATTATTATTTAGTATTTATTATTTTAATTTTATTTAACTTGGTCAAAATATGACTTACATAAGATTATAAAATGGACATGCATTAGATTTCAAAAGTAATAGCAATCATCCATAAATTTTAAAAAATACATACATTCAAATAAGAAAAATAAAAATATATACACTCAAATAAAAATACATATACTCAAATAGATCAAAATAAAATAAAATAAAAATATAGACACTCAAGTAAAAATAAAGTAAAATATTTATTTTGACATGTCAATTTAACGGTTACATTAGCATGAATTTAACCAAAATACTTAATTCAAAAAAAATTTAAAAATTTGCATACTTAAATTAAAAAAATTAAAAATTAAAATTTTGCACATCAAATATATAAATAATCTCATCTAAAAAACATAAAAATTAAATATATAGTTTTTGAAACTATAAAGACTAAGTAATTAGCTTTCTTCCAATGTAGGGACTAATATAATTATCTCCGGTTTTGTTTATCTGCCCACAGAATGAGAGGGCTGTGCCAACTCTTCTTTTATCTTCTTCAGAGTATTTTATTCATAACAGCAATAGAAATTCTTGTTGGCCAATCATAACTTTTCTTTTTCTTTTTGTCAGTATTACGAATTGACGAAGACTTCTCTCAATTATTATCATATCAACTTGCCGTGCTCTTTAACACGTTAAGCTCGGGGAGGTTTTTTCATGGATTATTTTATTAAAGATAAACTACATTTTTATCCTCAATCTATATGCTATGTTTTGATTCGATTATTCTTCTTCAAATTTCAGCAATACTACCCTCAGCCTGTCCAAAGTAATCAGATTTCTTCCTCTTCGTCAATTTCCCCCTTAAATTCATACGAAACTAATGATGTGGATTTTTCTTTTAGTTCCAACTTCGTTATCACATATAAACTTTTTGAATTCATTATCAAACAAAAATTATATACTTAATTAATTCATCGTAAATTACAAAAATTTCATGCTTCATTAATTAATTAAAATTGACAAGTTAAGAGGCACAACAAGTTTCCTGTGTACTTTAGACAAATTAAGAGTAGCATTGGCTCAATTAGAAGAAGAAGGATCGAATCAAAATCAATCAAATAATAAAGGGTATATTTGTAGTTTTCTGGTTAAGTTCGACTATAAAAATCAGAGTTCCTTTCTTCTCCATTTCCATGCTCTTCCAGAGTCATTTCTTCATACCTTCATTTCTGTAGTCAAACATTTTCCCAGTTCGAGGTAAGTCTTACAGACATCTTGCTCACTAACCTATATTGCTACCTTGGATATCTTTTCTGATAACAAAATGCTTTTGGGTTCTTTTTCTTAGGCTGAATTAGGCCTTATAATTGGGAAACATGGCAGCAGTGGAGATTTCAAATGGCAACAACATTAATGCAGCTACAGAAAGTAACCATCCAGGACAACATAACCATATCATTCAGCTCGTAGCAGCCCCTCAACAACCACTTGCCTCTGGTGATGGAGGTAATAAATCAAGTTGGATGTTTAATTCTAGTTCTTGTTAACTTTATATAGTTCAGGTTTGGATTTTGCAATGGCTCAGTAGAGAAAAAAATATATGTATAAATAGTATCTCCCGTAACTATTTCAGAATTTCTACAGAGTTAACTACAATTTTGAAGTAGAGGGACTGAAATATCAAATTGCAAGAAAATAAGGATGATAATACTCATTGAACCCGAATGTTTTTCTGCTACCGCAGTCATTTTTCTGTTCTGCCTACTAACTGCATTCATTTTACCGCCCTGGATTATGCTGCTGTGGTTTTGTATGACTCTTCTGGTTTTTCATTCCTGCAAATGTTATGCTCTATGTTCTTCAGTAGGATGGATGTCTTGCTGCTGCAGCTACCATTTTGTCTCCTGCTCTTTGTTTGACCAGTTGTCAATTGATGCATTAATCTCTGGTTTTGATACTTGTGTATTTTGGAACCTTTAAGGCCTGATTTATTTAAGTCTCATGTGTTCTTAGCAAAAAGAAGGAAAACAACAAGAAATGTAAATTGGAGACCTAAATGGGATTATGATGCAGGGAAACTTTCATTTCTCCATTTCTATTCTTCAATTGCTGCATCTGACTGTATGAAAACTAGAAGTTATATTCAAAAATTGCAAGTTAGTGATGTTTAATAGTGAAGTACCGTTGGTTTTACATTAACTCCCATCACTATATGGATGTGTTGAATGCAAAACTATTTTTACTGGCTCACCACTATTTCTTTTTGACAGTGGAAAGAAAAAGACACTTGCAATTGTATCAAGCTGCCCTGAGTGGTGACTGGGACACTGCTGAAGGCATTTATGGGGAATTTCCAGATGAAGTTAATGCTAGGATAACTAAGCGAGGGGAGACTGCTCTACATATTGCAGCTGCCGCGGAGCACACTGATTTTGTGAAAAAGCTTGTTAGTAAGATGACCGTAGAGGCTAAAACTTATAAAAATAATGCAGGCAATACGGCATTTTGCTTTGCCGCTATATCTGGAGTTGAGGAACTTGCCAAAGTCATGATGGAGATGGGAAGTGATTTGGCAATGACTCGAGGTAGAGGAAACATGTTACCAATTTATATGGCAGCTCTATTGGGACATAGAAAGATGGTGTCGTATCTTTATGATAAAACGAACGAGCAGTTAACAGATGGTGATCGCATAGCGTTATTTGTTACTCTGATCAACAGTGACATATATGGTGAGCTATCTTTTCTATGTTTTAAATGGCTGGATGCACTAGCAAAGTTCGATACCATTTACAAGTTAAATTTATTTTGGTAAATGAAATCAAACTGTTCTAGTTTGTCACAAGCACTATTTGTCTGAAACATCTAACTGGTAAGCATTTGAAAATCTAACTTTGAACTTCATTGTTTTTTTATGTTTTTGTTCCCAGATGTTGCACTGAAAATGCTAAAAGCACATCCCAGGTTAGCCTATGATCGTGATGAACATCAGCTAACGGCATTGCATGCATTTGCCCAAAAGTCTTGCATGCCATCAAACATTGTTGATCAAAGCCCCCCAGGATTTTGGAACAAATGCCTCAACCCTTGTTAGTTCTCTAATCCTCCAAATCTATATTTCTGCAAGGGTGCATACGAATTGTTGAAAGAAAACCAATCGAAAAATTTCAGCAGTTTAGTCATTAGCGAATGCCAAATATCAACTTTATATCTTTAACATATCCATGAATACTCTATATATATATCACTTTCGCAGACATAGATATTCAAGCTTGAACGCTTGTGAATTACAAGAAATCATCATCAGTATATAAATTTGTATCCAACATATTTATAAACAGTGCACTAAGAAATTTATCACAGTTTTAACATAGAAATCAAACCCACATTCTTGTAGAAGTTCTATATATGTATAAATATCTTGAAAAAAATGTATCAAAATGTTATTATGATTGATCAGTTCTGTTCACTCATTGTTGAACTAAATTTATATTGACATCTTTGATTTAGAACTTAAACCAATTTCCCTTAATTTAATTTTGTTATTTTCAATTCTCAGTTTCAGGTTACAAATTTGCTCAGATGAAGAAACTTATGCACAAACAAGCTCTTGACCTAATCCAACACCTTTGGGAACATGTAGTATTGTTGGATGATGCAACAATTTCTCGTCAGATTGGAGAACCCTGGCCATTAGTATTCACTGCAGCAGAAAGAGGAAACCTCGATTTCCTAACCTTACTTATTCGTTTGTATCCTGATTTGATCTTCAAAGTTGAGCATAATATGTATAGCATATTTCATATTGCTATCTTGAATCGTCATGAGGACATCTACAAGATGATATATCAAATTGGTTCTATTAAGAATTTGATAACAACATACAAAGATGGAGAAGGGAACAACATGTTGCATTTGGCTGCAAAAGTAGTGGAATCACCCAGTCGACTAAATGTTATACCTGGAGCAGCTTTACAACTTCAAAGCGAATTGCTATGGTTTGAGGTGAATTCTCATTCTTTCCATCAACAAAATACATTTGATAGTCGTTCATATGCATTAAGCCAACCTGATTCGTCCACCGAATGTGGATCCTATTATGATAGGCGAATATGATTGTTATATGTTGTGCAATGTGATTGACCATAGCAATATTCCTCTTCTATATATGTATATCTGACAGTCTCCCTACATGATCATGATTTCCAGGAAGTGAAAAAAGTTGTTCAACCACGGCACATTGAAGAAAAAAACAGGTTTGGCAAAACTCCAGGAGCTTTATTTATAGAACAGCACAAGGAATTGATGAAAGAGGGGGAGCAGTGGATGAGAGATACTGCCGATTCAGGCATGCTGGTTGCAACACTTATTGCCACTGTGGCTTTTGCAGCAGCTTTTACCTTACCAGGAGGTACTCTACAAGATGTTGGGATTCCTGTTTTCCTTGAGAAAATTGCATTCAAACTATTTGCCGTATCAGATGCAATATCACTAATAACCTCTGCCTCATCTGTGTTAACCTTCTTGTCTATTCGCACTTCTCGGTATGCAGAACAAAATTTTCTTTGGTCATTGCCTAACAGGTTGATTATTGGACTCTCGACACTTTCGATATCAATTGGGGCAATGATGGTAGCCTTTATTGCAGCATTTTTCCTTCTTTTCAACAATAAATTACTACCATATTCTATCCCTATCGCTGTCGTTGCTTCTTTGCCAGTCATTTTCTTCATTTGGCAGCATTACCGTTTATTCGTTGACATGATTTATTCAACTTATATGTCTCGGTTGCTTTTCAAGCCAAATAAATCTCCTCTCTTTTCTAAAAGCGTCAAACCAAAGGTTGCTTAGCATACTTCAAATTCGCAAGTTGACTCGATTGTGTGCCTTACATTGTTCTGCTTTTCCTTTATGTAGGAAAAAGGTTGTGTAATTCACTGTGCTCACCAAAAAAAGTGATGAGTTTATTGCTTGATACTACAGACTAAAAATCTGGAGTTAATTACATTTTTAATGTACGAAGTGTCAATTTTTTTCTATTTAAGTGTATCAATTTTAATTTTTACTATTTGAGTATATCAAGTTGTAATGTTTTTATATTTTTTCTATTTAAGTGTATCAACTTTAATTTTTGTTATTTGAGTATATTAAGTTGTAATGTTTTTATATTTGAGTGGTTTCGCTAATTTTCGTTAACTTTATAGTGATGTGGCCGTTAAGGCACATATAATACTAAATTGTGGACTCTATTGTCAAACACATGGCAATCAAAATTTTTTTTTATTATATATTTAATATACAAATTTATCATTTTTTTAATTTAAATATGTAAATTTTAATCTGGCTATTTGAGTGTACTAACTTATATTTTTTTTATTCGAATGGTTTCATAATTCTAAGCTGATCTATCCATTAATTGTACACATCACACTATCATTTAAGCCCTATTGTCAGACGCATGGCAACTGCAATCTTCACGTCACCATGCCACAAAAGTACCTTTTAGTAGGACTCTATTGCAAAATTCAAAGGCAGCTCTTCCTTTATGCTCAAGCCCCATCAGACATATTCATATAAAGTACTAAGATAAGATTTCTAATGTTAAAAAGGCCACTACCACTTTCGCATCATCCCCAACCATCTAGGAGAATCAGATAAAGAGTGGAGATGCTGCAACTTGCTAGATCCCAGTGTTCCTCTAGGGTTCTTCCAGCTTAAGTAACACACTGGCGTTCAACAGGAATCTTCTCCGATCTCAAAAATCTTGATCATAACCTCTTTCACAGTAGCATCTGGATGCACATCAAGGGTAAAAGTTTTTCGAGTGAGAGTTTTAACAAATATCCGAAATATGGAATCCCCAGGCTGCTTCCCTTCACAATGAAATGCAGAATCGTTAGCAGCTATATATATACTAGCTTGCCAGAATCAAGGAAATCATCTAATCTCAAGTTTAAAATTCACAATCATCAAATGGTAATCATGAAAACTAAGTGCACAACAGACCTGTAAACTGGAACCAAGAATTTAATATTCAATACAGTCACCGTATTAATACATGGTTAATGGAAATGATGATCTGGTCAGGGAATTAAGGACCTTGTGCTCACACAACATGCAAATAGGAAATCAGTCACGAGTTAAGCTAACTAAGCCCAGGGAAATCAAGGTAATAAATCTTAGGATTGATTAAACTTAATAAAAAGTCTCATGTTATCCTTGGTTCTGAAAGAAAACGTATCATGCAAGATTAGAGAATCTATCGCATATCGAATAAATAAATACTAAATAAAGTTGAGAAAAGATCATCTCCAGTAAAGCATAAAACTTTTACATTTCTGAATGGCATCTTGGATGAAATAGTGCTCATGGAGCAAACTATGGGATTTGTTGATGAACATATCATCAAAATTGGACTCAACCTCTTCATCCATAAAGACTGCCACCTTTACAACATGAGCATATCCATCATTTCCATCAATTTGCCTCATCTCAAACACCTGCTGTTGAATGGATAAAACAGAGTTGTAAAATTTTGGAGATGAAAGTCAAAAAAACACAGTGCAAAAGAGTTTTGGGAGGAAGAGGAGGATTGTAGATGAAAGATTTATCAATTTGTGTGGGGCTGACACATAGAAAATTATTTAACCCTAGCATGAGGTAAATTGAGTATAAGTTGGATATGAATTTAAAAGATATTTTGTAATGTATATATGTTATTTTTTTTAATAAATAAGGTAAAAAATTGAATTAATGAATTAAGTACCCAAATAGTACTTTTCCTATAACAACTATCGATACGAGAATCCAACTTTCTGTTAGAGAGATTCATTTATTTTTTAATAAAGTAATTAAACCTTATACGGTATTTATTAGAGAGTCACGTGATAATCGGATGACTCTCGTAAAAATCCGTAAAATCTTAAATTTTTTTAATTAAGAAAAGGGAAAGTTAGTAGCGTATAAATCTTTTAGTTTATTTGTGTTACCATTTTTTTTTTAAAAAAATTGAAAATGTTTCTGTTTTAGTTTTTTTTTCCTTTTCTTTGCTAAAAAATGCCAAGTGGGCTTGAACTTGAAAATATGCATTAAATAAAGGGAAAAGAAAATGGGCCAACTCTTTTACTATTTCGAGTTCACTGGCCTTTAGTCCTTTAACAAAAAACCGAGTGGAAAACCAACCTATTTATTCAAGTACTGGTCCTCGTTCAACAATCGGACATTGAAGCCCCGCTCCGCTATCTTTCTCATCTAAGTTATATAAGGACGCTCGTCACGCACCTTCGATTAATCACGCGCCGCTTTCGACCCCCATCGGAGTATGGTTAGAGAAGGTTAGAATCTTCAGTGCCCTATTTTCCTTCTTTTCTGTGCGATATTGCTGTTATTTTTGTTTTTCAATTTGCCTTAAGCTTTTAAATTCAGTATAATCGTGGCCCTGTTTTCTGTGTTGTGTAGAATCTGGAGAGTCAGTCAAAACATGGGCTAATGACCTTTGGCAAGCAGGCTGCTGTCCTGATTCGTTGAATGTGATTCCTGCTTGTCGTTTTTTGTGTTTTGCCCCAGTCCTGCTTGCTGCTTGCTGTTTCTTGTTTGCTGAATGCATTTACTTGTTGGCTAAATTCCAGCTTTGTTATTTTCAGTCTTCTTTTCTTTTTTCTTTTTTTCCCTTTGCCGAAACGAATTGAACTTGTTTCTGTTGGGTTTGGTCTTTATTTTCAGTTAATTTGAAGTTTGAAAGTGGCTGCTTTTTTGTTCTTGGGGTACTTGACGTGCAATTATGTTTCTTTTTGTGGATTTACTTGCTGCTTTTTAAATCATTCAACTTTGTTACTATTTCAAAGGGCATTTTCATTGTTCTTAAAGCCAAAATATGACAGCTGCAATTTCAGCACTGTTTTGCCACCTTTAGATATTACATTGTTGCTTAAGCTTGCTACTTAAGCTCTTTTATCATTGTACCTCACCACCATCAAGTTCAAATTTTTTAAACAAATTTGGCTCTTTTAAGTTTTTGTTTTTGTTCTTCTTCTTTTTTTTTTGTTTTTGTTTTTTTTTTTAATATCGTGAAATTGATTGATTCACGACTTTGCTGCAAAATTGCATACCATTACAATACATACATTTGTATTCATACAGATTTCTACTTTCAGGTAGAGAAGATACAACTTTTTGAAAGCTTCATCAGCAAAAATGGAGAGGAATTCTGCAGCTTGTGCAATGGAATGGAGCATTCAGCTTGAGAAGGCCCTTCGCTCCAAAAAATCCGGTTAGTCTACTCTTTTTCTCTCTCTTTTTTCTTTTAATAATCTTTATTCACCTTTGCATAGGGTATGTTCATTTGGAGTTTCGGATTCTTTGAAGTTCGAATTTTCTGCAAATTCATATGCTCCATTAGAGGGATTTGGAGTTTAAAATGATATGGTCTTTACTTTTGCTAATGGTAATTAAAAGAGGTTTTTCATTTTTTAGGTCAAGCTATTGAGGCCATACAGCAATTTGGTAAAAGAATTCTGCAGTGGAGTAAAGAACCCAAACCAACTATGGTGGTTTATAACATGTTTGGGTTAGTTCCAGGAGAGGATAGGCTCTTTGCCAATACCATTCTATTACGGCTTGCTGATGCATTCAGGTTTGGTGACAAAGAAACAAGGGTTTCTATTGTAAGGGTTTTCTTATTAGAGCTCAAGTGCCGTGATAATAAGAAAATAAAAAGTAAACAATACAAAGGGATTTTGTCAAAGGACAGGGTGCACAATCATGTGGAACTTCTGAAAAGAGTTAAAATAGTTTTTGATACTGGAGATGTCGAGTCAAGGGCCTTGGCTTTGGCTCTCTTTGGTTGCTGGGCTCATTTTGCAAAAGATAGTGCTCATATACGATACCTCATACTTTCCAGTATGATCTCCTCTGATGTATTGGAGGTGAGGTCAGTGTTATATCTGTTGTGAAAATTTGAAGTTTGTGATTGATTGTTTCTGCTAAGCCACTGTGGTTTTCAAGCAGGGCATTTCCTATTTTAGTTGAAGGATTCTCTTCACCAAACAGTATAACTGGCCTTCATTCTTTTCTTTCTGCAGGTAAAGGCTTCTTTATTTGCTGCAGGGTGCTTTTGTGAGTTGGCAGGTGACTTTGTGTCTGTTGTCTTAGAGATGTTGCTTAATATGGTCACTTCATCTGAATCATTGTCGAACATAAGAATAGCTGGAATAAGAGTTTTTGCGAAAATGGGGTGCTCATATTCTGCTGCCAATAGAGCCTATAAGGTTTTGAGTCTCTTCTGATCCAATTTCATATCAACATGTGTTTGCTTTGTTGTTCTAGAAAATGTAGTGAGTTCGTGGTTTGTTGTTCCAAGTAATAGAGAATACAGCTCTCTGTGGACATTTATACATGTTACTATTTAGCAAGTTTGGATGATCTTTTACATGTTATTGTTCATTAAACAATATATTTAGGAGTCACTTGTAGTGGATGGTATAAATAAAGATTAAAATACAGTACAATATATGTATGAAAAAATTTCATCCTTTTGACCATATTCAAATTATTTAAATTTGATGTGGTTTAGATTAAAAGCATGCCTATTTTCGGACACTGGTAGCTGCAATCTAATTAATGTTACTCTGATTTTTTCTCTGCATGTTCTTACTTTGCTCCTTGTCAGATTAACAAACTCAATATAAATTCACATGTGTAGTATATAAGAGCTGATGGATTAAGATTTAAGGAAGAAATACTTGGTCACCGGACACCTAAATGATTTATTGATGATACAGAATTTACATTTCATGGCGTGATTCTACTTAGTGGACATGTGGAATGATTTAATGCACAAATAATTCATTCTGTCAAGATTGTTTGTCAGTGTTGTACGTGCAAATCTGTATCTCTATCAGGTTATAAAATAATACTAACTCTTGGTCTGCTACAGACAGGTATTAAGATGTTAGACTCTTTGGAAGAGGACCTTGTGGTTACAATGCTGGTTTCTCTCACCAGACTTGCTTCTAGATCAACCGTTCTCCTATTGGAACAGGTACCTGTTTGAATCTTTTTGGTGAGTATGTGGGTATTTTTGTTTGGTTCAAACTCACCAAAGAGCTTGTAACCTAGTGGTAGTGGTCTTTTGCAATAAGAGGTCACCGGTTTAAATCCTAGTTCTGCTAGGAGCCTTGGGTGTGTGAGTTAAGAAAAAATTGTTTGGTTCAAACTCAAGTTTTTTTTTTTTTTTTGTCTCATTTGTTTCAAACTTGTCTGAATATGCACGTTTAATACCTTATTTGGCTTTTACTGGGGAAAAGCTATAGCCTATAGGTCAAAATAGATTCAAGATAATGATCCATTTCTCTTCCAATATACTTCTTTATCACCCACAGAAAATTTAGCCATCAGGCTGTGATAGTTTTATGCAGCTTAAGTTTTCTATGCAAATAAGTAAAATATTACTGTTTTAGTATTATTGAGAGGTAAAATGGTATCTTCATTTATAATTAGTTTTGCCATCTGTTAGCAGGTGGATTTGCTTTTATTGTTCCTTAGCCAAGATAAAGTTTTGCGATTGCAAGAAACAGCTCTAAGATGCCTCCACTTCATATTTATGGGAGGAGTTTTTAACTCTTCTGTCAGTGGACATGCAATCAAAACTTTATCCAGATTTGTTGATGAAGCTGACCTTCCATTATCTGTGCAATGTGAAGCTTTACAAATTCTGCATAAGGTTGCTTCTGAATCCAATCTTTTAAGTTGTGATTTTGCATTTAATTTGATTTGTATTGAGTAATACTATTTAATTTGCAGATGCTTTTGTACAGACTACATAATCTACCTCAAGGCAACATGCTTGAATTGTCTCCTCTGTTGACTACCATTGAGAATTCAGCCCAGTCTTCTATAATGTCAAAGAGCCTTCTTGCTGTTCATGTTCTAGCAGATTTATCAATGAAGCTCAGCAGAAGAACTGAAATGGAATCGGATGGGAATTCTTTCTCTTCTCTGCTAACACGAGTCATCTCCATAATTGTTGATCGGTTTATCTTGCTGGTGAAGCCACTGTTGGTTCTCAGCCAGTCTGGTGGAGGAGTATTTCGGGAAGTTCAAAGCCTGCTTAGGCTTCTATTTTCTTTGGTTAGAGAATATCCAGATCTTGGTGTCTCTGTGCTGGATAAAATTAGATTTTTTATTGAGTATCTTGTGGATGCACAAGAAGGTAACATAGTTATAAGGCAAGCAAGTTTATCAGCTCCGGAGGTTTTGGATTTTAAAGGAGAAAAGATAAGCATTAGTTTGAAGCTGGCATGTTATGTCCATAAATTTTTAGTTAGTTGCATTGAAATTCTGGATGAAGCTGGTGCCATCACTACCCAATTGGTTGACAAAGTAAAGCTTTTGGTTTTCTCTGTGCGTCACTGCAGTTTATTTCGTTGGTATGCACTTATAATGTATTCCATACTGTTGCACTCTCATACTATGTGGAGTCATGTAGTTCGTAACAAGGAAAGTTGTGATCCTGATAGCAACTTGAATAGTTCACTTTGTAAGCACTTGGTTGAGCATGAACTGTTCTCCCTTGAATGTGCAGAGAAAATGTTGACAGAGGGGGATAACTGGTCTGCTTATAAAGTTGGGACATTCGCAGCATGTCAGGGAGCATGGGTCACAGCTGTGTTTGTATTTGAGCAACTAACAAGTAAAGTTCAGTCTGGAATCTGTTCTTGCTGGTTAAAATCATTAACTCAATTTGCTCAAAGTGAGAGTAAGTTTCAGTTCTATCTCTTAACACAACAGGGTTTCAGTTTGGCAGATTGGTCAAAGATGAACAAATTTCCTATCATGCTTTTCAGGGACTGTTTTGATGAAATTGGTAGAGCTTCTGTTGAAAAGATCTGTGACCCTAATTATACTGAAGTGCTTCTTCGTGCTCATTATGGACTTTGTTCTTCAAGGAAAACATTGGAATCTGTTATCACATCCGATAAATCTTTCTGTTTTCAAAGATGGTTTTTAGCTCTTCGGGTGGAACTTCTAGGAACTGTGTTAGATGTACTTAAAGTCTTGGTTGCCATCCCACTTAACCCGGACAGTATTAGTAACAATAGACAGGTTGAGAAAAATGACGAGCATCTCAACTTGCTGCAACAGGTTACTGAATTATCTTTTCGGTTTAAGAGGCTGGCACAGGAATATGATCTAATTTCCATGTCATTCATTGGAATGGACAGCAGAAGTTCAAGGATAGTTTCAACACTTGCATTAAGTTGTTCGCTATTGGCTTTTGCTACTGGATTTGCTATTTTGATTTCAAACGTGCCAGCCAATGAAATTCTAATGCCTTCTGATTTGGAAAAGTCCAAAAACTATTTACAAGGAATGCTGGTGCAAAATTTAATCAGGCGGTTATGGCTCATGGACAAAGAAACCACTTCACATCTGTGTCTGCTTTTAGGTGTCAGTGTGCAGCCTAAAGACAATAATCACCAGTATAGAAGTCAAAGATTGAACATTAGTAGTGAAGAAAGAGATATTCTTGATGTTTGTAACTATGTTATTTCTGGCATCGTGGCAATAAAAAATGAGGCAAATAGGAAGCATAATGAGGAGGTTCTTTCCCAAGTTAATAAGGATGGTTTCCAGCTTCTCTTGGACACTATCACAAAATGGATGCACATCCCTTTTTGGGTGCCAACATATTTCTTTAAAATAAGGTATGCTTCTCATGTTTTTCCACAGCAATCATCTAGTTTGATTTCTTCTGTTCTATAGCATGTGAGGGCCAACACTAATGATCTTTTGCTACCCTTGATACATGAGGTGATATTTGTTCATATCTTGAAAATTACATGTTTGTTTCGACAATATGTATGGCAAAACATGAGGCAAAAGATAATCATTAGCTGAATGTTTTCTGTGATGCGTATGTTTTTAACTGATTGTTTCTTATGTGCCCATGAAGATCTTATGGAAAAAACCAAAGACTTTAATATAATATAATTTCACCTATCCTTCTCCCTCTATAAGATGCTTCAGGTTTGTTGCTCAATGAATTCTTCTGTTTTCCTGAACTCTTTCTTATCTTTTAATTGCTCCTGAGTGAATCAGTTTGCTATCTTCTTATCTAAAGAGCTGTGATTATTGGCAGAGTTTCATTTCACTTGTACTGGATTTTTTTTAAAATAAAATGGACTCTAGGACGATTGGACTAGGTTCCTTAAAAAATTTGAAATTTTCTTTTTGTTAGACTAATTCTTGCCCTTATGTCATCTATTCTAATATTTGACGTTGACATTAAAAATCAGGCCTTGCACTGGCGCAGAACTCTTTGTCTTCAGTGCAGATGCCAGAAACTCAAATCAGTTATCTGTCTTGCCAGGCTTCAACTTATCCCTGAATCTTTGTCTGCAATTGAGGAATTTGCCGCCAGATCGTCCAATTGGAGTGACCAAGTCTTATTGTGTCCTATATTCAAGTATGTCTTTTCAAGAGTGCATGGAAAATGGAGAAACCCAGGGGCAATTGCCATGGGAGAATGGACCTTTGGACACTGCCAACTTGATCCAAATGAATGAAAAACTGTTGCACCATGTAACAGAGTGTACAAAGAAGACTATTAATGGTAAACATGGCAGGGATAAAGATATTGGCGGTGATGAGGTTATTGGATTTGTGTGTTTTGATCTAAACAATGCAAGACAAGGGTTTTCAAATTGCCTTCTTGACGTTTCTCATTTTCCAGCAGGATCTTATCGAATCAAATGGCTGAGCTGCTGTATTGACAGTCAAGGTTCCTATTGGAGCCTCCTTCCATTAAATACAGGGCCAGTGTTTACAGTACAGGAGCCCCCTGCTATATAATTATCCTCAAGCTGTTTTGTCTTTGATAAAAACACATTTATACAACTGCTGACTTGGTTACCATGCATGGATTACAATGAAGGGTGTAGGCATGTAGCATATAGGGAAACAATGAGAAACCAAGTACTCTATACAGGAAATGGGGAGCATAGTCTCGGCAGCTGGAACGTTGTGATGAGATGAATTTTATGTTTCCTGAAAAGTTGAACCTCGTGGAGCAGAGTCTTCAGTCAAATGGCATAGCTACCTTAGAGATTTCATGGGGATTTTCCACTATGTTTAAGAACATCATATTTGCATCTGGTCCCAAGTATTTTATGTGAAGCAAATTGTAAATTTCAGGGAGATAACCTGACCATCTTTAATGTGATTACTTTGTTTTTGTGGAGAGGAGCTACATCAAATATCTGTCAGTTCTTGGCTGTGATTTGGGACAATTTGTTATTAACTACTCACAGCAGGTACTTCTGCCGTATCCCTCTCCTTTACCTATTTGTCTGAATTTCTTACTGTTATCCTTTATCTCGGAATTTTGCATAGGATTATGAATGTGATTCAATCAAATCGCACTCTTCTTCTCCACTTCTTACTGTTTGAAGGGTCAGGTGGGGTGAGGGGCGAAGGTCCTTATTATGTCATCTTCATAGCATAAAAACCACATATCGATTAATTTGCATTTGCATTTTGTAGGCAGTTCTACTGTGAACACCTTGTGAAACTTTAAAGCAGTGACTTGCTGAGCAGCATACTGCGATAAACAGAAAAAATATCAAATTTGAATCATCCTCTGCAGCAACAGCACCGAGCCATTACATGTCTTTGATGCATGTACGAAAAGGGAACCGTGCTTGCCTGCTCGAAGAAAAGTAATCCTGCACTTCTTACCTAGTGGTTTTTCCCACAAATTATTTAAGAATTATCTTTGGTTTGTAAGATCATTGGATAATAAATTCTTAACAAGGTTGATTGCTTTGCTCTAGGCATTTGGTTTTCAAGCGGACAATGGTTTTGAAGCAGGGTCAGTGATTGTCAGATCATTGATTTTTTTTTTTCCTCCCACTCTCGGAGGGCTTGGGTTGGGCCATTGAGGTTGAAGGTGTTAGGCTTCTGATTCGAAAAGAATTTCAGCCTTTGGGAAATTTAATGTCACTTGTAATTTTATGTGATTGTCTAGGGTGTAAGATTACTCAATGTGTGACTGGAATGCTGTAGAAATGCTTTTGCTCTCATGAAGAGGAAGTCTCTGCTAATATTCTGAGGGATCTTTTATGTGTATCAGTGTATATATCTACAAAGAACGCAACTGCAATGCAGCTCCAGTTCCAATTTCCAATTTCCATACACTGCTTATCTTACTCTTGTCAGTCTATTTCTTGCATGATATCCAGGACCTTGCTCTGGCTAGTGTAGCTCATTACTAAAACTAACCAAGAACAAAAATGGAATTATAAATTTCTTAACCATCCTCAATTTTTTAACCGTAGTCTTCATGGTTTTTGTTGATCTACTCATCACTTGGTTTTTATGTCCTCAATAAGAAAAAACCAGAACATTGTTAAATAGAATGGTTAGAAGCAACTCTTTCGGGAGTTACTATAGGAATTACAATGAGAAAAGCATGAAATCAGAAAACCTGCCTGTCCCTCGAAGAGTTTCCTCATTCCCTTATTGAGTGCATTCTTGTGAAACTCAGGCCATATCGACTTTACAAGGGCAAATGCAAATTATTTTATTTCAATTAATTAATTCATGGGAATGGAGAAGAACAAAGGAAACTGGTTTGAGGTTTCAAAACCCACAAACAAGCTTCTAAAGCAGCCAAAATCCATGACGAGGAAGAAAGGCTGAGAGACTCTAGCCTTGAGATACCCCAAACCAACTGAGAAATTTTATAATACACAGAAGTAACTAGTGACATGTACGGTAGTTATTTCATGGATCCACTTTGAAGAGAGAAATAGATACAAAAAAGGAGAGATAAATTTTAGCGAACGTGAAAATCTTATCACTTTTGATGGGTCTTGATGTAATTTAATGTGTCTATCTCTCTCCTCAAAGTAATTCTATGAAGTAACTACTTTATATGCCAATAGTTACTTCTTGTGTATTGTAAAATTTTTCCAACTAATTACTCGTTGTGTATTAAAAAATTTTCTCAACCGAGATATTAGAGATGGGGCATTCTTTATGTATTTCTTTATTTGTTGATGAAGATTCATCTTCAGGTGCTTGAACAACATTGAAGCTCTCTGATGGCATGACATCTGAAAGAAGGTATGTTGTAAGGAAATGGTTACTTTCATTGCTACGTACTCCCTTCAATATTACTGTTTTGTACTGCCTGCCAAGCATTGCTTCAAAATCTGCGTCCTCACATTCTCCAAGAAAAACCACTAGATTTTCCAATTCACACCAGATCGAACATATAGAAACCAAACAGGAAATCGGTATTTATGCATAGACAATGTGTGTGTGTATATATATATATATCTTTGTGGGGGCACCAAATGGGATGAAAGTTATGTACGGGGCCACTAAATGGGAAAACAGAGGTAGAAGGTTCAATAATAGTAGGTAGGAGCTGAGACGGGGTCTCTGCCATCTTGTTGGACTAATCTAATCGTAGAGGAGATTGACTTTATGTTTGTGATGTATTCTTTTGTAGGTGAGATGAAGGATCTCCAAACGATCTACTAACAGGGGTTTGAGTTGCTCCTGTGATGTTCGCTTCTATTTGTGTAGGTGGAGAGATTATAAATTTCCGAACAGGAGTCGGAGTTGCTCCAACGATGTTCGCTTCCGTAGGTGGGATTGGAGGGCGTGGACGTGGAGGAGGTGGAGGGGGTGGAGGTGGACGGCCTTTAGATGTGAAAACGATTGTAGGTGACGATGCAGGGAGTCTGTCTTCTTGTTTTGCTTCTTTCATCAAAGGTTTAGGAACTTCCTTTGAGATTTTTGCTTCTGTAGGTTGGGTTGGAGTTGGGGGCCTCTTGAACGTTGATAGGAGGGGAGGAGGTTCCCCTAGAATGGCCGTGTTTCCATCTTGGTTTGTGATTCCAATTTCATTTACAGTCGAAGTTGTTCCATCGATCTTCTGTGTAGAATCATTTTCATGTTTCTCGATGGTATAAAACCCCTGAAGACTTTTCGTAGCACTGTCGAATTCTGTCCACGCAAACTCAACCACAGCCCTTAGCTTACTAATTGTTGCATCTCTTCGATGCAGCCGGTCCTTAAGGCGAACCATGTCCTTCTCCTTCTGAGCTAACATGCCCTTGAGGGTTTCTACTTCTTTTTCTCTATAAAGTGCCTGCATCTTTAGGGAATTCGTTTCTTCCAAAAGTTCTTGGTACTTCTTGTAAGGAACATGGTCAGGCCTAGTTATTTGCCCATCAAAAACCTGTTATTCGGAGCATATAATTGAAACAAGCTTATTCAAAAGTTATGAATGAGGAAATATTATATTTTTCTAATTCATCAACTGCAAACAAATTCTTACCATTGCAATGCTTGTAGTGAATATTTGAGGCTAGTCCGTGCTATGCAGACTCTCTTGGTTTTCTCTAGTTCAACCAGCTGTGCTAATCGCGAACCACTTCTTAGATCAAAAGCAGCTATAAACAACTATTTTTTTAAAAACAAATCAATATCAAACAGACATTTAGTCAAGAACATCAACAACAATAATGGTGGTAGAATTTTACTAAAAGCCAAAATTTCAGTGAAATTGATCCTAAGAAACATGAAATGGTTTTAGAAAAAGCAAATCATACACACATGTCTGTCTCACAATTTAGCAACCCTGATTAGGAAGCATATTCTTGGCTGAAAAGACGAAAATGAACCATATGTCTGTGCTTAGGAATATTCATCTCAAAAATTGAAATCATGAAGCCTAGCACATGGTGACATGCAATTCAAAAATATAATTTGAAGTAACGAACAATAACAGAGAAAATTACTAGAGAGTTTATGTCTACATGTATCAATTAAAAAAAAAAAAACTCTAAAGTTGAGATAATATTTCAACAGGAGCATGGAGCATACCTTTCTATTATTTTTTCTTTTTCATGCAAAACTTATGCGATAACTGGAGTTGTTTGAATGGAAGGGCATGCAAGCTCCAAGAAGAGGGATTGAATAATGTAGAATGAAGAAAGCAGAAGGAGAGAGAGAGAGAGAGAGAGTTATCATCATATGGGACTTAGTCTTATCATATAAATGTGTTATTGTAAGTAATAAAAATGCAATGACATCTTTAAATTAAGTCAATAAGTATTTATGGAAAGGAGGAATATGTTCTGAAAGTATTTTAATGATATTTTATTTCATGTTGTTCCAAATGAGCTCAAGTCAAAGTCTAGAACCAAAGCTTCATTTTTGCCTTTTTATATTATTATGTATCAAAATGTTTCACTTCTCAATCCTTTTGTTGTCTAAAATTTCTTCATATTATGCTTATAAAGAAATGATATGTAATTATTTAGTACTCAAAACCCTATTAAAAAGAAAAGAAAAGAAAAGAAAACACGGTAAACTCGAAAAACTTACAAATCAGAATACTACAATAATATTTGCCAAAAGCCAAAAGCCGACATAAATAATATACGTTTTAGTTGACTAAGGACTAAATTAGTTTATAAAATAAACTAAAAATTTCTAGAAATACAAAACTTAAGAAAAAGAAAAAACAAAAAAGTCTTAATTTCTAAATTAGAACACTCTTGACTAATTCTACAAGTTCGAGTTACTAAAAGGCCCAAAAATAAGTTTTTGAAATGTATTTTGATCTCGAAAATAGCTTTTGAAGGCCATTTGTTGTCCCCCATGTTGTGGGTCTCTTAATAATCCTTTTGAATTGATATAATTTGCCTCAATTAGACATCTAGATAAAAAACTATGACCGTTTAAAATATCGATGCAAGTTTGTCATTTTTATGTAAATTAAATAACTAATTATAAAAAAAAATTCATTTTTTTAATATTTATTTTAATGTTTTCAATATCTATATCCTTGCATGAGAAATTTTGCCTCAACAAAATTGTATTTGAAGTAGGGGCTTTATACACTAAAGATGCGAGAAGATATGTCTATTTATGAACATCTTGATGAATTCAATAAGATTGTTATGGATATAAAAAATCTTGATATTAAACTTAATGAAGAAGATCAAGCTCTTATTGTATTGTGCTCATTACCTCGCTTCGTATAAAAATTTTGTTAATTTAATGTTGTATGATAGAGAGTTCATAACTTTAGAAGATGTTAAGGTCTCTTTGAATTTCGTTGAGTTGAGACATAAGTTGAATGGTAAAGCCATTAATAATTAGGCTAATGGTTTGCTAGTAAGGGGAAGACATAAGGATAGAGAGGGTTATAAAGGAAAACCTAAATTTCATTCTAAGTCTAGATCACTCTCAAATAAGAAAAACAATGCCGAGTGCTAATACTATCATAAGAAAGGACATTATAAATCGGATTGTCTTACCGCAAAAAGAAGGAGAAATCGCGAGGTCAAAGTTTTGAGTCCGCTAATATGGGGAAGGCTACCGATGTTGATGTTGTTAAAAGTGTTCTTCTCGCATGTCCTCTAGATAGTCATTATGATCAAGAGTAGATTTTGGATACGAGTGCTTCTTATCATATGTGTTCAAATAAAGAGTGGTTTACTAATTATGAACATGTAAGTGGTGGTTCTATTCGATGGGCGATAATTCAGCTTGCGAGATGACCGGTATTGTATAATTCATATCGTGTATCATGATTCGATTGTGAGGACTTTGACGAAGTGAGACACATACCGATTTGAAAAAGAATCTAACTTCTTTAAGCTAAGGGTTCCTTGGTTGTGATGAAAGCCACTCAAATTAATCATCTTTATGTGTTACAAAGTAGTACAAGAATGTGTTCCGTTGGGGTGATTACTTCCTACTCGAAAAAGAAAAAAATCAATTATGGCATATGTGTCTAGGCCATATAAGTTAGAGAGGTATGACTATTCCGAGTAAATGTGATTTGATTTATGGTGATCAAATAACATCACTTGATTTTTGTGAGCATTATGTCTTGGGAAAGCAAACTAGAGTGTCGTTCTTTGTTTGGCACTCATTTTACAAAAGGCATACTTGATTACATTCATTCAGATTTATGGGAACCAACTCATGTTCCATTCGAAGGTGGTGCACTTTATTTTTTGACATTTATTGATGATTAATCTCGGAAGGTTTGGGTCTATTTTCTCAAACATAAGAGTGATGTTTTCAAAACTTTCAAACAATGAAAAGTTTTAGTAGAGAATCAAATAGGAAAGAAGGTTAAATGTCTTCGAATAGATAATGGCTTGGAATTTTATGGTGGAAATTTTTATGCGTTTTGTACAAACTTTAGGATTGTCCGGCATCGCATAGTTATACACACTTCTCATCAAAATAGGGTGGCATAACGCATGAACATGACTTTGATGGAGACAGACTAGATGTATGCTTTCTAATTCGGGTTTGGAGAAGGATTTCGGACCGAATTAATTAACACAACTTATTATCTTATTAATCGTTCTCCTATACTCGCCATTGATTGTAAGACTCCAAATGAGGTATGGTCGATAAACCTAGTGATTATTCAAATTTGAAAGTATTTGGATGCCTTATTATCATGTTAAAGATGATAAACTTGAACCTAGAGCAAAGAAATGCATATTTATTGGCTATACCGGGGTGAAAGGTTATCGTCTATGATGTCTTGAACCCAATTCATCTAAATTCATTATTAGTAGAGATGTTACTTTTAATAAGAAACATATGTTTGACCAAGGAAAGGTTGTTTATGAGTCTACAGGAAAGAATGAGAAAGCCATAAGGTGAAGCTTTAGGTGGAGTTTAAAAGAGAGACCCTTCAAAAACCATTCCTAGATGTATCCCTTATAGTTGCGGATGTGGAACAAGATTCGGATATAAATGAAGATACCAAAATCGAAACAATCTTGTTCAATAGCTAATGGTCGAGGGAGGAGATAGATAAGACCTTCTCGGAGATATGCTTATGCTAATCTAGTAGCCTATGCCCTCATTAGAGCCGAGATAATGGGTATTCATGGGCCTTCTACCTATATAGAGGCAACGATTTATGAAGAGTCTAGTCGGTGGGCCGTTGCAATGATAGAAAAACTCGAGTCACTATATAAAAATCAGACTTGGGATTTGATGAAATTACCTAAAGGTAACAGAGTCATTGAAACTCAAACAAGTCTATAAGAAAAAGATAGGAATACCGAGTGTTGAAGATGCTAGATTCAAAGCATGATTGGTGGCTAAGGATTATAGTCGAAGGAGGGAATTGATGACAATGAAGTATATTCTTTAGTTCCGAAACATACCACTATTTGTGTGTTGCTTGCTATGGTAACTCAATTTGATTTGGAGCTCGAGCAACTTGATGTGAAAATAGCTTTTCTACATGGAGAGCTTAAAGAGACTATTTATATGTCTCAACTAGAGGGATACTTTATGGAAGGAAAAGAAGACCATATTTGCAGATTGAAGAAATTTTTATATGACCTAAAACAATCACCAAGGCGATAGAATAAGAGGTTTGATAATTTTATGCTTAATCATGGTTATTTAAAATCTACTTATGATAGTTATGTATATTTTAGGTAGTTTACAAATGGATCTTTTATGTATCTCTTATTATATACGGATGACATGCTTATTGTCGCCAAGAACATATCGAAATTCGAGTGCTAAGAAACAACTTAGTGATGAGTTTGAGATGAAAGATCTTAGAGCATCGAAGAAGATTTTAGGTATAGAGATTCGTAGAGACGGGGAGGTTGGAAAATTATATCTTTCACAAAAAGGATATATTGAGAAAGTGCTTAAGCGTTTTAGTATGTAGAAGGCCAAACTCGTCAATACTCCGTTGGCTACTTATTTCATACTTTCACCTTCTTAGTCACCTCGGAATGAATAAGAAGAGAAGCAAATATCACAAGTTTCATATTCTAGTGCGGTAGGCTGCATAATGTATGCTATCATCCGCATTTGTCCGGACATTGCCTAGGTAATTAGTGTTGTGAGCGGATATATGGCTCACCAAGGAAAGGTACATTGGCAAGCAATGAAGTGGATTCTCGGGTATCTCAAAGGTACCATAGACTTGGGTTTAGTCTTTGAAAGGGGCAATGCTTCTAAAACTTATGTTGTAGGCTTTGTGGATTCCGATTATGTAAGTGATCTTGATAAAAAAAGATCTTTAACGGGATATATCTTTATACTTTCGAGTTTTGCTATTAGTTAAAGATCAATATTACGATCAATAGTTGCTTTATTGACTATCGAAGTAGAATATATGACAGCAATTTGAGGCCATGAAGGAGGTTATTTGGTTAAAAAATCTTATAAAGGAATTTGGTCTTCAATAAGAAGAAAATTCAATTGTCTTTTGTTACAATCGAATGCAATACACTTAACTAAACAAGCACATCATGAGAGGACCAAGCATAT